CTGGCAAACTTAAGGGTCTAAGCTAATTTATTCTTCTTCTGAGCTCAAGGGCTGAGTAAAACCCAGGAGAGAAACATTCTGTTAACTTCGTTGTTGGTCTCAGTAATTCTAGGAAGTTTTTTTCTTAGTTTCATTAGCGGTAGAAGAAACTGACTTCCTTTCTATACAAGAGTTTTAAGAATGTTTTTTTTTGTTTTTAGCACATTTCTTTATTCCGCTAATAAAAATGCAAATATCATAACATAATCGAATGTTTCTTTGCAGTTCATTACACCCTGCCAACTGAAAGTCTGTTCTGTTTTTCAGCGATCAAGAGTTTTGTTTCCCACTGTGGTGATCTCCTTACTGAGGAAGTAATTCAGCGTCTTCTTCCACCACTTCCTTGTGCTGTGGATTTGCTAACTCAGTAAGGATCTGCTATTTAGATTTGCTAATTTTTAATAGCCATCAGTTACCCTCTGATTATATAATATCTTCTAAGTACAATAATAAGGCCAGGTTGCTATGGTTAGTGAATGTTTTTCCTTTTGCAGAGGAAGGCAAATATTTAGTTATGTGATTTTTTGGTTTTTTTTTAGGCTAGGATCTTGAAAGAAAAACACATATTAAAAGGGAAGGAAAGTTACTTGGTGGATAATGTATCTTCCATACAGTCAGATTTAACCAAGAAATTAAATATTAAGCCTGTTAACCTTTTCAGGTATGCATTTTATTGGTTTGTTAGTGCTATTCTGTGTTCATAAGAACCAGATGCTTGTTAACAGTTTCAGTTTTTTGTTGTTTATATTTTTCATACGTTTGACTTATACATATATAAGAAAACATAGAGGAAATCCAATATATGTCATGAGCACTTTCCAAATTAATAGAATGTATAGTTTAGAGGAAGTCTTTCCAAAAAAGTGTTTAATGATATAACATTTTATATATACAGAAAAATACCTTATTAGGATATGGCTTGTAAAGCATAATAATAGTCACCTGTGACTCCAACACAACTAGAGTAGGGGTTAGCAAATGTTGTAAAGGGGCAGATAGTAAAATTGTAGACTTCCTGGCCATATAGACTCTGTTGCACCTACTCAACTCTATTGTTGCAGCTCAAAAGCAGTCATAGATAATATGCTAATGAATGAATGTGGCTTGTTCAGTAAAACTTTTTACGAAAACAAGTCAGATTTAGCTATCCCTGAACTACAACATTAATAATAGTATTGAAGTTATCTGTGCTCCTCTCTAGCTCCATTCTTTCTGCCTTTAGAGATAATCACTATCCTGAATTTTATAGTTGTCATTCCCTTGCATTGCTTTTTTTTTTATTATTGGGGAATTGGGGACGGGGAACAGCCAAGTTGTTGTCCTTCAGTCTTAGGTGTGGAAGGTGCAGCTAGCTCAGCTCCAAGTCTAATCGTCATCCGGCCGCCCGTTGGCACTTCAGGGGAGCTCAGCTCAAGGTGCCTTGTTCAATCTTAGCTGCGGGTGGGCATAGCCCATCATCCCATGTGGGAGTCAAACCGGCAACCTTGTTGTTAGGAGCATGTGCTCTCACCATTTGAGCAGGCAACTCTGCGGCAGCTCAGCTCGGGCGCAACTCACTGGCCCGTGTGGGAATTGAACCGGTGACGCTTTTGCTCAGAGCTCGCGTCTTAACCAACTGAGCCACTCGGCCGGCCCCCCCATTGCATTTTTAAAAAGTGTGTCACATATGTATACTGTGTTTCTCTAAACAGTACATTGTTTAGCGTTGCTTGGTTTTGATCAGGCAAGTGGTGTACTGTTTCTAAGACTTATTTTTTTTTAATCAGCATATTTCAAAATTTCATTTCTGTGTAATTTGTTCATGCATCTTGGTTGCAGTATTTTTTTTTTTTTAGCTGAGCCATTCTGCCACCTGTTGGCAGCTCAGCTCGGGCCAGGCATCGAACCACTGTTGCTCAGAGCTGAAACTCTTGAGCAAGCTCTTAACAAACTGAGCCACTCGGCCGGCCCTGTATAATATTTAATTGTGTGAATATACAGCACCTTATTCATCCTCCTGTCAATAAAATATAGCCAAATTATTTTCTAAAATTCTTGCATATTCCAATAATATATATAAGCACCCTTTGATCCACTTCTTCACTAACACTTATTCAGACATCAATTCTAGCCCACTCTGTAAAAATATAAAACTCCTGTTTATATATTTGATTCCTGATGGTTTGTGTCTTTTTATATATTTATTCCTCAGTATTTCCTCTTCTATGAAATCCCTATTCATCCATGTATTCACCTGTTTTTAGGTTAAATGTCAAATTTATCAGTCGTTTACTTTTTAGTTAGCAGTTTTTGTCTTTTGATTTTAAAAATCTTCCTTACTTCATAGTTATAAAGATACTTTCTTACATTCCTCTCTCAAATATTTAAGATTTTGTCTTTTACATTTAGTCTTTAATTCATCTGGAATTGATTTTGTGTTCGGAGTGAGGTAGAGACCCCATTTCATTTTCTTTTTTAATATGGATAACAAATTGTCTTATACTTGAGTAAAAAAAGAAAGAAAGAAAAAAAATCCCATACTTCCAGTGATTGCCATTCACCTCTGTCGTATATTATTGTATCATACGTATATATCAATATATAATCTGTTTCTTTGCCCTCTGTTGTGTTCCATTGATTTGTTTGCCCATTTCTGTGCCAACACCACATCATCTTTATAAGTTTTAGTATCTGTTAGAGCAAGCTGTTTGGCCTTATTCCTCTTTAGGCATAATTATGCCCTTTTTGCACTTTTGATTGTCTCCTGTTGAAATTTTAATTGGAATTGCCCTGAATCTATAAATTTGAAGATAACTGATATTTTTATAATACCTACAAACATGATACCTCTCCTATTATTAAGGTATTTTATAAATATTTTATAAAATTTTTTTCTATATAAAAGTCTTAGATGTCTTTTTAAAAATTTATTCCCAGATATTTTATATTTTTCATTGAAGTTATTAAATAAGTATTTGGGAGTGGGTGGGTGGGTGTGTATAACCTCTTTATTGCCATTATATGAAAATGTAATTGGTCGTCTGTCCAGCCACCTCTAGACTGTCCTATATTAACGTTTATTTGTAGGTTTTTTTGGTTCTCTCCCCTTACAATCCTTATTCATTTATTCATTCATATTCTCTCTCTCCCCTAGTGTGCTAAATAGCTGCCATTTAAAACTGAGTAGAAGTAGTTAAAGAGAATGTTTCTCATGTTTCACAAATAAAATGATGTTGCTACAGGCTTTTTAGTAATATATTCTTTATCAGATTAAGAAAGTAACCTCTTCCTAGTTGGCCATGTTTTTGGGTTTTTTTTATCATGAATGGGTTTTGATTTTTATAAAATGGTTTAATCTGATAAATTTAACATTTTATTAACCAATTTTTCGCTTGGTTGCATTCTTGGGATAAATGGAGCTTCACATAATTATCTTAATTATAATCTTATGGATTTGTATTGCTTATGATTGGGTTTTATTTCTTGTACTGCCTTCATCAAGTTTTCATCAAAGTTATACTAGCCTCGAACAATGAGGTAGGTGAGTGTTTCATCACATTCTGTGGAGGAATTTATTTAAGATTGGAATGATGTGTCACAATAAATAAATTTTGTTAGCAACCACCTATCTATAAAAACAGTCTAGACTTGGTATTTTCTTTGTAGGAATATTTTTGTTTAACTATATATTTCATTTCCTTAATTGTTTTGACTATTTGAGGTCTGGTTTGGAGGTTTGTTTTGCTTGCTTGTTAGATTTTTCCAGGAATTTTCCCAGTGCATATTCACTTCAAATTTTTAACATGAAGTTGTTCTTTATTCACTTACCTTCTTAATCTTTGCTATAGCTATAATGTTCCCTCCTTCGTTCCTGATAAGTTTTCATTATGCCATCTCTTTGGTTTTTGATTGATCTCAGGAGAGGTGTATCTGTTTTCTTAATCCATACAAAGAATAACTTTGCTTATGTTGAATTTCTTTTCTACTTCATTAATTATTGTTTGTTATTATTACTTTCTGCTTTCTTAAATTCCTGTCCTATTTCTAACCCCTTACTTTGAATGCTTATTAGCTCATTGAATTTCTCTTAATTCTTCTAATATAAACTAAGGTCATAAATTTCCCTCTAAGGTC